CCAGTGTTCTCGTTCCTGGTACCATCTCATCGCCCCCATCTGTCGTCTCTTGTTCTCGATCCCAGCACTCTTCGCTCTCCGTCGCTCAATATTTCACTTGCTACTTCCCCTGTCTCATTCTTGCATCTTATTTCATATCATAGTCCCAGCTCACCACGGACACCCTGCATTATAGCATAATTTCGACATCTCATTGCTCATCCACCCATCTTGTCTTATTCCCCGTATCCCATGCCTCGGCTTACCCATCTATATCTGTTTTCCATCCTCGTAGTATATATCTCGCTTGTACAATGCTTTAGTCGCCTCATCCCCACCCCACTGTTCCATACCCTATATCCATCACATTTATATCCATCCCATCCTTTCTTGCACACTCACAGTACCATATTTAGCACGAATATTTATTTATCCCCAACGAATCGAAGCTGTCCTGTTACCCATTTAGCATCACCGTTTTCTGGTCATACAAGACCGCTATTCCATTCGTGAGTGCGAAATGATATATATATATGTGGTGTGGATTCAAGACTAGAAGCGGAGCTAGCGCTTAGGCTGGCGCGGAATAGCGCCGGCCCGGGGGAGCTTGCCACGCTGCGAGGTAAACTAAGGGCGAACGGCGAGAATTTCAACTGGACAATGTCTACTTACGCACGCTGAAGCGCCAAGAATCCAGACAGATTCTCCGAAATTGAATCGCGCCACTGCGCTTGAATGAGCCTCTAATCTCGAGTGGCAACTTTAAGGCGACGGTTGCCAAGCCATAAACTGGTGCTGAAAAATATTCCTGAACGAGCCTGAACGAGGGCCAAAAGAGAATGGAAGGTCATAGCGGAGCTGGGCCATGGTACATATACGCGACGCGAACAATCGATATTTTATTTGGGCCATTGCTTAGCGCTTTGCGCTTTTTGCAGTGGGTCCCTACTAAGGACTAGAGAGTGCCGCTTGGGAATCAAGAACGTATAAATCGCTTCGGATTTCTGCATTTTTTTTACCAGTTCACCATCACCCACATCCCACTGCACAACACTCACACCACATTGCGCTATGTCTTACCCCAGCCGATCTGGACTCGGAGTTGACCTCAGTCAATGCTTGAGAAAAGGAATTGAACGCGAAGGCGTAGAAGCTGCGATAGCTAAAATATTAAAGCCTGTGCAGCTCCATGCCAAGTCGCAGGACCGGCGTGAACGAAGCTATATGGAAATCTTTACTTCTATGGAAAAGCTCCGCGAGGTGATAGATCCATTTATCAGGTTGTTGGAGCCAGGCAAAGCTTCTGAGGTTAAACAATTATTTGTGGGGTACGTTCTATTTTGACTCTTCTTGTTTGGCGGGTTTCTGACATGCATGCATCGTGTTAGTTTCGATGTGAACTCTATGGCTGCCGAGATGAAGGCCAATCCTGGCAGTGCGGATGCCTTGCACCAAATGTACAAGAAAGTAGGGGTCTTGATGATGAAGCTGGATATGATTATTTCTGGGGTAAGACGAATTCGTTTGACATTTTCGCTAGCGGTTCTTGACGTCCATGTTTCTAGCTTTGTGAACACCGCTATCCACGATACGAAGCTCGGAGGAACCAGGAGATCATTGTATTCTGCAAATGCCCGCAATGAGTACGGCGTGTTAATACCATTCGAGGGACCTGTTTCTCCAATTATCTTATATCTATCTATCATATATGTATAGATCTTAACTTACAATAAGTCCTGGAAAGAATCGACTTTGAATTGACCTTAAAACTTGAACTTGAAGTAAAAAAAGTTCTATAAGTTGATGATCCGCGCTCCTGAACGCGTCGGTGGCGTGAGAAAATCTCTGCCTCAAAGTCGCCCGACGCGTCTGAACTTATCCTCTCACTGTTCTCTGTTTTTTTTTTCCACCACTACATCCACGACAATGCAGTCTGTCCTTTCTTTCCCGTCTACCGACATTTCATTGCCTGTAGCTGCTGTCCCAGCTGCAGAAAAAGAAAACGCGTCTTTGAAACAAACCGCGCTTCAAACGACGGGGATGAAAGGAAAGAAAAGGACACTGACCTTGGTCAACGGAGGTTAGTAGCTCGCCACTTGCAGTAGCCGTCGACTGACTTTGGTTATAGAGGAACTTGATTTGACCTCGACGATCTCTCAAGCCACTCCTCAGGTCAGTTTTACTGCGCGTGTAGTAGTACTATGGGCGTCTTCTAAGGCTTTTTTCAGATTGTGGAGGCAATGAGACTGCGAATCCTACAGGTACGTTCTCACTCTTCCTGTAGTACTTTTGGTCTTGATGCATTTTCGTACAGCTCGAGAATGAAATTAGTTCGCAGCCTCCACCAGCCAAGCGTGCCAAAACCACTGCCTCTGCTCCTACTGCTGCTGGCCCATCTGCTTCTTCTGAGGCAGGACCTTCTTCGACAAAAGCGGAGGAGAAAAAGCACAAAATGCAGGTCAAGAAAATATTTGACCAGTAAGTGCACATCCTCCTGAGCCCACTACGCCCGAGGCTAACCCGCATGTTAGATTGAAAAAAGAATGCAAGTCCGACAACGTCAAATTCCAGGGCTCGCCCAAGACAATCAAATTCGACGAAATTTGGGAGCAAGCCGATTTTGAGGCCCTCTTCAAAGGGAAGGGAGTTCTCATTCAGCCTACGCCTGAAAACAAACCGAAGAGCGCTGTCACCATCATTCAATTCGTGTGTCCCTCTTGTATTTATCACCTTGCTCAAGGCAATTGACTCGACAACATACAGAACACCCAATCCCAGATCTCCGCTTTCTTCGGGGATGAGTTGAAAGCTCTCAAGGGTAATGTCTGGTCACGAGGCGGTAAGTGCTATTTCTGCTCGTCCGAGTTATTGGATAGTGTAGCTGAACCTGTGGTAGGCAACGTTACTCGCCGTATGGGTGGTGGCTTCGGAGGACTGTTCGGTGGAGGCGGATCCACGTTCACCAAATCTATTAAACAGGGAGCATGCGATGTACAGATCCAATCTTTCGAGGTCAATTATTCCAAAAACAATCTCAAGTGCACCATCAAATTCGAGGTGGCAGAGCTCGGAGGGAGGTCTGGCGGGTACGGATACGATGACTGGTAGAGGTTCGCCAAATCATCTTCTATCGGTTTTGAATTTCGAAACGCGTTATTTGGTTTTCTTCGTTGCACGTTAATAGGTTTTATAATTGATATTCTCTTGTATATACATCTTACTTTCGGTATAATAATTCCTTAATATCGATTGTTTTATGTCGTCTAACGTGAAGGGTCTGATGCACAATGATTCTTGTACCGGAAAGCTTCTCGACACAGCACTTGAAGTCTAGGTATGGTCATCCGTTCTCTCGACGCCTTTTGACGCTCGAAACATAACAAGTGTGATGAATAATGGTCCGTATCATTCGGGGCTTTCTGAAACGATGCAAATCGCTGTATCACGCCTAATCACCGCAGGAACATGAATTCCAACCCCGGTACACTGAAGCAGATACTCGGGAACAGCTTCGGAGTTCAACCTGTCATGCAGATCGCCTAAAAAGGGAGAATTTGCCACATTTGGACATCTTGGCTTGATCTTGAGGCGGCCTCGTGGTTTGCGCAGTACTTACATAAGGCTCTGCCATCGATGCGCCTTAAAAACGCAATGGGGAATCTCGTTGGGGATCTTCCGTGACTTGGGATATAAAGGTTCTTGCGGCCATCGCCGTACCCTGACCTCTTCGCTCCTTCCCCCTGCATCTCTCTCACTCTGACATAGCGGACTGAGCGTCGAGGTGAACTTGTAGGCAAGATGAGCTCCGACGGGCACGCTTCAGTTCTGGAGAAGCAGCGCAGATATGCTAAGGCGTCCATCCAGCAGATGGTGCACGCGCTCCAGCTCAGCCGACATGATAGAAATGTTCTCCAGAGCTACGAAGGCTTTCATGCATTCTCAGCTGGTATTTTAAAGGGTCTCCGAGATATAGTGGACTCCGTCAGAGCCAACTTGAGGCAAGATGCTCTAGAGGCCATTTATGATCTTAAAAGGTAGTGTCATTCGCCACTCTCTGCTTGTGTTTGATACGAGTCAACTAAATAATGCATCTATCAACACCCATCAGCGATATCAAATCTGCGGTCAAAACCATGTCAGACGCGCTTATTGGTAGTCCTGCTAGTCAGACTCTGGGTGAAATCTATGCCGACATCATCAGGTTGGTATCCAACATAAAAGACTTCCTTTCCAAGGTGAGAATCAGTCCTTATTGCAATGATATTCTGTAATTTCTGACCTTCGTCGTATCTAGAGAGAAAGCTGGCTTGAACCTGCCTAGCGCGTAGCGCGATGCAGCTTCTTGATTGCCTTCAGGGAGGCTGGTTTTGATCTATGCTTAACTTATACCTTTGTACGAGGACATCTACAAGAGTGGCGAGGCAACGCGGGTGCCGCCGCAGTAGGCCTCTCCAATTTTGGCTTTTGGGATGACAATTAGGAGGCAGATTTGCTTCTCTCGCTCTGTGGAAGGAGGCAGCCTTCAAATGACACACAGAGAAAGGCCCTTTTGCATTTTCCTTCCGTCCTCGTCGTCTTAAGTTGTCGTCTGTGCTACGTGTTATTTTCTTTTATTCTTTTATTTTTTTGGTCATCAATTATGCATTGGATTGTCAAATCATTTATAGCTTGGCCACCGTGTTGTGGTCAGCTTGGGCTCGACGGGAATAAATTAATCGATTAGGTTGGCGGTGGACAGAGGCACTAGTACCTCTGAGAGGCGCTATACCTCTGAGAGGCCCGCGTACTACTTAATGCCCATTTGCGGCACACTTGTGGGTCCTGAACCTCTTGAACTTGTGATATAGTTATGCAACTCTCCCACATGATTGCCTAGGATCCCCTTTTTTGGGCTAGCAAAGAGCATCGCATTGGCCAAGAATCAATTGAATGAGCGCTGGGCCGTCCTGGACGGAGATCGCGCGAGTGAAGTCCAAATAGCACCCAGGGTTACGATGTATCCTGCGAGCCATTATTCAACTGGTCCAGTGGTCTAGTGGTTATGATTTCTGTCTCACATCTCGTGTTCACAGAAGGTCCCCGGTTCGACCCCGGGCTGAACCATTTTGAGTTCTCAATTTAAAGAATCCAAATAGATCCATATGCGTCAGCCAGCTTGTTAAGATAGAACTTCCTCAAGTTCTCCTCCTTTTTCGATTCGTCGTTTTCCGGCTAAATTCATACAAGAAATATGTAGAAATTCTACAAACCAACTCATCTCTTTTACATCCTAATCCTCATCGTCGCGATGATAATGAGCTCAATAAGCGTAGTACTGGCATCAGGTCCGAGGGTATTTATATGTAAGTACGATATTGCCGTGTCATAAGTAGTCTGTCTGCCTGTCTATCTCTGTCTCGTCTGCACGCGTGCTTTTTTTTGAAGTTGAAGCCGGAGAGTCGTGTGAGTTCCATAGGGACCCGTTGACCGGCGGAAGGGTGTCGCAGCAAGCAAACTGCTGATAACCTGTCCACGGCTCTCCGCTTGTCGTTCAAGTACACGGCCCGTGGTACGTGCCCACGCACCACGTCACATAAATACAAAAAGAAAAACCCACACACCCAGTACAGAGGAGAGAGGAGGCAGAGCGAAGAGAGGGGGTAAAAGAGGGAAGGGCAGGGGCGTAAAAAGGACACCGACATCCAGGGAATAATCAAAAAGAAATAGTGTGGATCGTAGGTCTCTATGAGCGGGGTGATATTCGCACATCCGTCAGCGACGAATCCAGGATGGGGGAATGACTGTGGCTCCTGGAGCCTTCGTTCCTGGATAAAGGCAACGGAACGTTCGACGGGCTGAGTTGCTGTTGCTGTTGCCGCCGCTTTGTCTTGCCCTTTCCCAACAACGCCCTTTCATCCTCCGCACCCGTATCATACCCCTCCTCTTCCCACTCCTCCGCCTCCCTCAACTGATGCAGGTCCCCGCTCTTCTGCTGCCGGTGCTGCGAATAATGCTGCCCCACAGACCCATTCGTTACAGGCGTGCCATCCCCCTCGGTGTCTTCAAACGCATTAAACAGCGTCGTCGACTGCGCCTTGTACAGCGAGCTCTGCCGGCCGTGTCGTCCTGCCCTGCCCGCACCCGCACCCACACCGCCCATGTGGATGTCAATTTCCCCGCGATCGCCCACGCCGTTCCACCCGTCCAGCGACATGCGGCCCTGCAGACTCAACCGGGGGTTCATCAGCCCGCCCTCCAGCGTCGAGTGGCTGTGCGCCTGCCCGTTGGGGTGGTCCAGCGGCGGCTCGGGGATGCGCGACAGGTTGAGCAGGTGCACGCCCAGGAAGGTCACGATGAAGCCTGCGAGCAGCGAGAAGGTGTTTGAGGCGTCCGAGGTGTTGAATCCTTGGAACAGGATCAGAGAGGCGACGATGGTGCATGTCGAAAAGCCGACATAGTACAATGGGTTGACACTGATCAGAATCCGTTAGCTGGGGGTTATTCAAGCCACCTCTCGAAAATCCGAGATTGGGTCAGTAGTAGATGGCACTCACACATTAGTCGAGAATGTATCAAGTGCCTTGTTGAAGTAGTTCATTTGCACGATGATAGAAAGCCCGACGACAATCATGAACACGTAGGTACTGGGATGTGTGAATTGATTGTTGCCCCCGAACGTCAGTTTGACCGCGACACCGAAGCCCTTGATGGCCATGACGCTGACTGAGCCGACCAGAGAGCAGATGGAGAGGTAGACAATTGGATTGGACCGTCCGTATTTTGGCACGACGAGGTAGACCATGACAAGAGTGAAAACGAGGACGGAGAAGCAGTAGAGGAGGAAGCCTAGTTATTCACGAAGACATTACGATTAGCAAAGCAAGATGTATGAAGACAATAAATGGAGAAGACATGCCAGGTTGAATAGCGAAATGCAAAATCTCATCCACGGTATTAATCGGCTTATCCTCCGGAGCGTGTAGCACGATGATGAGCGAACCCAATAAACACAATGTGCATCCAACCCGGCCAAGATGTCCCAATTCTTCACCCAGCAGGAACGACGCGAGTACGGCACTATAAAAAAAGTGAGCCAGTCAGGGGTCTGGGGTAAACGCATGATGAGGGCTCGGTGAAGATGCGCACCCTATCAGCACGCTGAGAGCTCCCAGCGGCGTTACTAGAATAGGTGGCGCAAACGTATATGCTGCAAAATTGGCAACTGAGAGAATAAAAGGAAATGAAACGCTCGTGTGAGTGGTTTGCATCGTTGTTGGCAAGGCGAAGCTCACTTTCGCCGAGGACCACTACAAGGAAATGACCTTCCGTTGAGCATGTATATGTCGTCTAACGATAAGAAACACGTACTAGTCACCATTCCCGCCCACCATATTGGATTTTTGAGGTATGTTAAATTGTCGGAAGCCTGTGCGCCGTACGCTGAGTTCAGAGCTGCATCGTTCAAGCCCTAAAAAGCAAGCCGTTGTCAGGCTAAAGAGAACGTCGAGCGAAGGATAGGGGTCCAGAGAGAGTTTCTTGGCCATTATTTGAGGATAAAATACCTTTTTCGTGATTATAAAACTGGATCCGATGCCGACTGAGCCGCAAAGGGCCAGTATGAGTCCGATGTATTTATCTTCCATGAAGGTGGTAGCAGCGCCTGTCACAGCGCAGGGTAGGGTATTACGAGATTAAAGAAGGGAAATAGAAAGGACGAAGCCAGCGCTGGGAAGAAGGACAGAGATGAGAAGTGGTGAGCTGGAGGTGGGCGGATGACCGTCGTAGCACAATGCAGGAGCACAGCAATATCACGTGACCATACAGAACTTGCGGAGGGAAAAGAAGAGCAAAAAGAGGGCCTCACTGGGAATTGAACCCAGGACCTCTTCCAATTGTCGGTTCTAGGAACCACCCAAAGGAAGAATCATGCTACTAGACCATAAGGCCGATGCATTAGTTTTGCGGGATAACAACACCTGTACTTGGTATACGCGCAGCACCAGAAATATCCAAGCATGCACAAATACGAATTTTTCTATAAAGTCTTGGCCTCCCGACGGTTTGTTCTTTACGACGATTTGCCCCCCTTCCAGACGCCAACGTGAGCGAGGACGGGTCTTCCTTTTTATCTCGTCGGAGAGTGTCTTCCAGGCTTCTCTTTCGCTAGCAACACTAGCCTTGTTTCAAGGCGATGATGGATTTCTAGATAGTAGGGCAAGCTACATGCACAATTCAATATCGGGATCGATGTAAAATGTGTCAGTTGCGCGGAACCCTGCCGTCCACCGAACTCTTGAAGCGGATGAACCGTGAGTGAGTGATTTTCATGTAAAGCAGAGCACAACGAACATCTAGCATGGCCGAACCCAACCCTCCCGACCTATACCATCAGCAATACTATTTGTGCATACATAAGTGACCTTGAGCATTGCTCAATGACGGTTGTGTCGAAATTATACTATATTCTTACAAATTTCCTGACGAATTGGCAGAACACTTGGGGCTTATGATGGGTGGTATTCAGATGTGCGAAAGCAATGTTATTGCGAGAAAGAGGACTGCAGAGAATGATGTAAAGATTTAGGCCTTCGCAGCACTAGCTGTGGCCTTTGCGTCCTCGGCGGCAGCGACAGCAGGGTTGACCTTCTTTCCATCCTTCCATCGGACACGTGGGGGAGGAGCACGGTTGCGACGACCCTCACGAGAGCGAACACGGACGACTTAAATATAAAATGTCAGAGGCCGGGGTTAGGGCGAAGGGGAGGGGACTGACCATGTGAGTGAATGGCGCATGATACGCAGTATGCGATTTTGATGTACAATTTGGGGATAACATATTCTAAGAAATAGCAGGATGTTAATAAAACAGGGAGTGAGACAAGTTCAAGGAAGACGCACCAGGGTAGACGCTGGCCTCGCTGATATCACGGACAGCAGCACTCTCGACCATGTTCCTCACTGTGAACCTCTTGATGGCCTTATCCTTTGCGACGCAGCGAGAGCAGTTCGAGCAGCGCATGAAGGTGACATGGCCACGTCCCTTCTTGTTGCGGCCGCCATTTCTTCTTTTCTTGGTCTAGAAAACGCAGAAGAGACAAAAGCAGATCAGCATCCATCCACCGATATTGGCACAAGTATCCACACGACATCCAAAACTCGCATCGCGCATCCATCTCAATTTCGCCATAAAACGGTGTAAACTTCATAGAGGTGATACGGAAGATGCGCCGGAGTGCCTTTGCGTTGAGAAAACTCACCATTTTGATTGTCGGTGTCGAGAGGCGATGTGTTGGACGACGACGAGACGGTTTGCCAATGTGCTTGCGGCTCGATGCAGCGGTTCCCACACACCGGCCGGGCGTTCGGCAACCGGCCCTTGTTGCATCAATAATTTATTTTAGGAACAAACGCGCCAGGCGAAGTCGGGCAACCATGAACAATGGCCAAAACTGTAACTCATTGTCTAGTAGAGCAACCATTCCATCGGTTTTGCTTTTGTTCTCCCTCCTATAAAGCCCTACAAACGCTACAAAATGCTAAAACCCGTCGACGGCCCAGCAGGCTCCTGTTCCTCTTTCTCAACCTCCCTTCCATCTTCAAGTTAGACTTCTGGAGCCCGGCGCTCGTTTCTTGGTTCATTCTCTCCTGATTTTTCTAACTTAACTGTTCACGACTTTCGGCGGGACATATTTTGACGACTTGCAGGACAAATTAAAATCTATCATGCATTTCACTCTTTCTATCACTTTCGCTATTTGCGCTTCGACCTTGGTTCGCTCTTTACCAGTTGTGCTACTCGCGAGTTCAGACCTCTTGAAGAACGGCCAGGATGCCCAGGCACTGAACGCAGAATGGAAGAGTCTGACGGCCACGTCTCCGTGTGGTAGTGAGTGGACGTGATTTTTTGCTCTTCTTGAGCAGTCTTTAACAAAAGCGTTGCGCTGTTTCTCTATATAGATTTCACTACAGCATGTGTCGAAAATTCGATTGCTAAATGTGAAAATGACACATGGAATACCTCAGCTGGCGCCTGCTCGAAAAGTCAACAATGTTTCGCCCTTCCTAGTGTCACATCAGGAGGAACGGTATGGTGGCATTCTCTGCACCTTAAGCTGTTCGTGTGTTGATAACATCTTTTAACAGACTATCGCTTGTACCAGCGAAAGGAACGCTCTCTCGATCATAAACTCTACAGGAGCTACAGGAGACATAACGGGTACGAATACTACAAATTCTGCCAGCAACTCTCCACAATCAGCCACTCGGTCGCGTACTTCAGAGACTTCGATGACTGCTGCGCACAGTGCCAAGTCTGCCTCGGCCACTGCCCCAGAGCGTGTCACCGTCACTGTTACCGTAACTCCTGTGGAAACACCCCTCCCTTTGACTATCAACACTGTTTCTCCTGAAGAGGCGTCGAGCATCCTCTCCAGCATCTTGGCACAGGGCCAACCCACCTCATCCTCAGCAGCTTCAGCTTCAGCGGCACCCGCCACTATATCGCAGACCTTGGCCTCCTCGGCCCCAACGCCAGCCACCGGTACCCCAGGAAGTATTATCACCTTGGTAGCTGCCACGGCTACTGGTTCTATTGTCGCGTCCGCCTCCGTCTCCGCCACTGGCATCCCAGGGAATATCATCACCCCAGTAGCAGCCACAGGCGCTGCGCCCGCATCAACAACAGCTGCCCCTTCTACCGCAACTGGTGCTGCCGATACTTCCGGTGGATACGGCTATGGAGGATATTAAATAAATCGGGTGATTCAATGACACCTTGACAACTTAGCGTACTCGCAACTCTTATCATTTACTCGCCCATTCTCTCACTCTCGATGTAGCACCTAGCCGCAATTAAATGCCATATTGTATCAATTAAATTCCAGTTTCTCCCAAAGGCCAAACCTTTCTCAGTTTGTTCCACCCCCAGTTTAAAGGTGAGTTGGTGTGTTAAAATAAAGGAGAATGCATACAGAATCTATATGACTTAGCCGGCAATGAGGATTACAATATGAGTACCTACACGATAGGGAGGTTGTGCAAAAATCCGGAAGTCTAGTCTACTCGGATACCAATACAATGTTACAACCATGACGCCTCCTAGATAGCCCAATTGACAAGAGTTAGTTGAATCAACAGACAAAGTACCGAAATCATACCTCAAATATACCAGGCTCACTCCAATTCCACAACGTTCAGTTCACCTGTCTTTAACATCAACAGGAAATCGTCTAGTATCATCCTATGGTGCCGATCGCTGCCCTCGAATTGCATCACAGCGCTCCACCCCTTTTGGTTGAAGGTGACTTCTAACACTTCCCAGAGGTCCTCGCCATTCAAAGGGATGAATTTCTTGCCGACGAGTTTAGGTGGGTTGTCTTCATATGCGGTCAGTTCCTCCGAAGTAATGCTGTGCATGCATGGAAGGGTTTCGCTGTGGTATTTACTGAGAGTTGTGCCGCCAATTACTGAGTTTGGTTGGTGTGTAGAGGGTGGAGAGTCGGATGGCAGCCTGTAAAGTTTATGTAGATTGTGAGTATGCTGACCTTTGTGACAAGATCGGGCTTTGCTTACTTGGATGTGAACTGAGCGTCATCGAGCTTGTCAATGTTCAGAGGGTCCATTGTAGAAATGCAGACAAAAGTATTGAAGAGGTGGGTCGTAAAATCGTATGTGTGGAGGAGTCGACTGGCGTCGAGACTATATACCTTGACTTGCGAGCCTTCGCGGAGCTCCTGGGCCTATAAGACGCCTCCCATAGCAGTCAAGTTAGTCCAGGCGGCAAAGTATATGATCGTATCGTAAAGCGTCATCGAACGTCGTCCAGGCAAGGCTGGAGCTCGTCGTGAAGCGATGCAGATCTGGGCCTTCAGCCCATGATGGCTATTCCCGGATGGCAGATTACGAAGGAACTAATAGTAAAGATCTGAAAGTAATAGTATTAAACTAATGGTACAGCACGACGAAACACAGGAAAACTACAATACCAACGACTATGAAAGAAATTGAGACCGGTCAAGATACGAAGGAGGTGTTCTGAGAATATTATTCTGAAAGGACTGTTAGGGGACACGGAACCCCGAGTGAAGGGCATGGTATAAATCACGATGGAGGGAATCGACGAGCGAGGGTGGATGATGCTTGTCTACATAAATTTACTCATCGAGTTCGTCATCCTCGTCGTCTTCAACGACCTCCTTGCTCTTCTTTGCCTTGGAGGAGACTGGCTTGGCTTTCTTCGAGGGTGGTTTGGCAGCGGCGGTCTTCGCAGGGGCACGCTAAAACAAGAAGATTAGTGAACACGCTTTGAGAAAAACGATCAAACATACTTTGCGCTTCTTGCTGCTGCCCTCGTCTGCATCATCAGCTGCATCGTCAGCAGCGCCGTCAGCCATCTCCGCATCCTCGTCCTAGATGTCAATTCTGTTAGTATGCGCTGTTTGGAATGATCGGGTAGAGAACACACCTTCTTCTTGGGTGCGGCTTTTTTCTTGGGCTCAGCTTTAGCCTTAGGCTCAGCTTTGGCTTTGGGCTCGGCTTTAGCCTTAGGTTCAGCTTTAGCCTTAGGTTCAGCTTTAGCCTTCGAGGCGGGCTTCTTAGCAGGAGCCTTCTTTTTGGGCTTCTCTTCGACTTCCTCTTCCTCTTCATCGGAGTCTGCAGGAACTTCGTCGAGTTCCTTGGTAAAGTCTTCTCCAGACTCATCATCTTCCACCTGCAATGCGAAACACGACAGACATAAGAATCAAAATCTGGAACGGAATTGCGAACTTCAAACCTTTTTCTTCTTGGGTGCGCGTTTCTTAGGTGCAGCCTTCTCCTTGGGTTCTGCGGCTTTCTTTGCGGGGGCTTTCTTCTTTGGTTTCTCCTCGTCATCACCTGCCTCTTTGGGGGCAGCCTTCTGTAAGCAATTAATTCAGTTGTAAACACCTGGTAAATCAAGATATCATAAG